GATGATAGTCGCTTCCATAGGGCACTTGTTGAAGAAGCAGCCCAGCTCATGCCGATGATGCTCGCTTCTTTTGCTGGCGCCTGCCCATCGAAAATTCACTTGATGAAGATGATATTCGCTTCCAGAGGGCACTTGTTGAAGAAGCAGTCCAACTCATGCCGATGATGCTCGCTTCTTTGGCTGGTACCTGCCCATCGAAAATGCACCTCATGAAGATGATAGTCGCTTCCATAGGGCAACTTGTTAAGCAGTCTAGCTGATGCCGATGATGCTCGCTTCTTTGGGTGGTACCTGCCTATCGGAAGTCCAGCTGATCCCCATGATGCTGGCTTCTTTGGCTGGTACCTGCCCATCGAACTTTCACCTGATGAAGATGATATTCGCTTCCATAGGGCAACTTGTTAAGCAAGTTCTTTGGCTGGCACCTGCCAATCGAAATTTCACCTGATGGAGATGATATTCATATTCGCTTCCATGGGGCATTTGTTGAAGAAGCAGTCCAGCTGATGCCGACGATGCTCGCTTCGCTTTATGGCACCTGTAGAAGAAGCAGCCCAGCTTATACCGATGATGCTCTCGGGCACCTGTCACACGAAAGTCCACCTGATGCAGATTATGTTCCAGCAGGTTTACATGAAGCAGCCATGCTGATGCAGATGATGCTCGCTTCTCTGGGGCATCTGTAGAAGAAGCAGGTCACTCAATACCGATGATGCTCGTTTCTTTGCAGCATATTTGGGGGCACCTGCTTCGTCTGGCTCTGGTTGGAATCTGCCAGCAAGGCCAGGACGTGGTTGATCATCATTTTTGTGTTTGAGCTTCAAGGCCTCAGGCTAAAGGATGTAGGGCATGCCGCGTCAGATCGAGGCCAGGTGGACGAGGTTCACTGAATATTGAGAAAAGCTAAGAAAAGATCCAGCAGATGCTAAACTCGCTGCCGTCGTCATTTCTCGTGGGCGCCAAGGCCTCGTCAAGTTCCTTCAGAACCGCTGGCCACTCGTCGCTTGGTTCCTATTCGCGGCATGCGCGGCAGCGACCTCAACATATTGGATATTTAGAGACTCTTCGATCGCTTGTAGTACATTGCTCTGGTGAGCGTACTGCCCAGGTCCAGCGTCTTATCAATCGTGCTGCCGGCCTGTCAACCGCGAAGTCAACACTGCTTGGTGTCCGGAAGATGTGATTTCATGTGTAACTCATTCCTCAGATTCATCAAGTCAGGAGCTGGAGAATGAGAGGCAGATGAGAGAAGCTGTCGAACGCGAGGTCGCTGCCTTGTTAAGGCAGAAGGCAAGCAGTTCAGTGGGGCGGCTGCAGCTACGGCTGCATGCCTTTCAAGTGATGGTGTTCTTGCAGCGTGAGCTTTGTTGTGCTTTGTTTGCTATAGTGGGTGCAAGTGCAGGATCTGGAAGAGGTCGGAGTACGATCCAACTTGACAAGAGCGCACTTTTCATGATTTGTGCCCTTTGGATCCTTGGGGTTCAGGGACTTCTTGTCTTGTCACGCAAGAGTTTGAACAGCCCGAAGCGCCAAGACCTGTGCCGTTTGTAGGCCTTGAGCTCCTTCTGCTGTAGCAAGCGAATGGGCGGGTGCGTTTGTAATTCTCACAGAGAGAGAGAGAGAGAGCATAAAGTAATAGAATGAGATTGGGCTGGAACAGTTTCAGTCAAGAGCTGGATCTGCTCAGGTGAAGGAGCTGCGCGCTCAGTTAGCTCACGTCGATCCATCGCGAATGGCTCCAGCCCCTCAGCTGATGTACATATTTCTTCTTGGAGATCAGGTTCTAGGTCCTGAAGTCCGGAAGCTTTAAATACCGAGTGATGATAGCAAACCTTCTTGGCATTTAGAGTTGTAGTAACTAAAAAATTGAAAGAGACTCGCTGTTCTCCGGCAGGAAGAGTCCGGATGAGTCCTCAGGCATTGCCAGCGTTAAGGGGCTCAACAAGGACTTGTCGTCGTTGAACGTGGATGCAGGTTTTGCTAGCACCTCTCCGGGACATGGGAGGCACAGTAGCTAACTGTAGCAATCGTGTCTTCCGGAATATCTAGCAGCTCTAGCAGTACAAGAGAACATTAGGTACATAGGAAAACTGGTACTGGATGCCACAATCGCACATACTTGCGGAGGATATATTGCTAGAGCTACATGTAAAACATGAGAATGTAACTCCCGCTCCCAAGGCTGGTGTGGCAACGTCCACGGAGCAGCGCACTGACGAGCGTATCTTCGGTGCGTGAGAACATGGCCAAATCCAAACGCTCCAAGATCAGATTACAGAGAAAACTTGCTTCAATATATAGATCCTACAGTGAAAGATGCTGCGGTGCTTTGTTCATTGCCGTGGTTGAAGGCACTGTCTCGCCCCTGGTGTCAGTTTTCAATCTTTGGATGAGTCGAGCATGGGAATTCAGCAGCACGTGGCTCGGGTGCCTCTGTCCAATCGGACAAAGGCTTTTCACCAAGCACAGCTCTTCGCAGCCGAATCCCGGTAGAGAGAGCTGATCCGGAACAGAAAGGGTCTTTGAAAGCTATGGGTTCTTCAGCATTCGATCTCAGATGGCAAGCTTGTGAGGAGTGATGTAACAGCCTAAGCTTCCGAACCCACACAGGCGTAGCATCAGTCGGATGCTTGCGCCACACACGAGACCAATTCTAGTGTGGCATAGTGTGGCTTGCTGTGGCCTGTGGCGTTTGGCTCCGGTGCCTCGCAAGTTGTGACGCGAAGAGGATGACGGCGTCACCTGCAGAGGCTTCTTCTTCTCGATTGCTGATGTCGTGGTTTTGCTAACCCCTTGATGTTACATGCCAGCAACGAGCCACTCCATCCCGTTGTGCACAACTGCTCAGGTTTCTTCCATATACCTGTGCAGGATAATGAAGCATGCACTGCAAATTAACGGCACTTCTGTGCTCTTTCTCGTGCACAGGAGGGCGGCGAAGAGAGCAAACCAAATGCTCATGCAGCGCTGCTCCAGTTCGCCTCAGCTGCGGAAGAGGCCAGCCAGTGAGTCTTCAGAGGTCATCCTCGGTTGCATCATACTGGTCAGGGTACTTGCGACGATGCCGGAACTGTCACGCTAGTCCTATCCGTAGGCAAACAAGGATGGGTATGTTTCTGCCCACGGACAGGAGATGACGCTGTCTGACGAGTTGGAAGGCAACCGGAGTCGGGGGTCTGGAATTTCATGGCTCAGGGCTTGTGCGGGGATTTACTTCGGGTTCTTGCGGGCATTTGGGCTTGCTTGATGATGTACTCTTTGTTATCACTGGTTTTCGAGATGGGGGTTTAATTTAATGCTCAAGGCAGGGCAGGCGGCATTTGGGACCCAGCAACATGGCCTGCAGGATTCGAAAAGGTTGGGTTTTGCCAGGCCTTCGGCTTCCGACTGCACCGACCCAGGATTTGGGGCTCAGGGTTTTCGAATCCAAAGCTTAACTGGCATTGACCATCAGGCCGCAGCGGCTACACTAGTGCTCGAAACTTTGGTGATTCAAAAAATGGGTCCAACTACTGATCGGATTTCAGTGGCCAGGATGTTGTGTGTTGAGGGCTTTAGACCCGTGTTTGGGCTGCTACAGATTTCTGTAAAGTCCAAGCGATTCACTGCGTACTCAGATTTAATTTAGGGCTTGTTTCGAAAGTTTCGGCTGGCTAGCTCCAGCATCTTTAGCGGTTCTGTGGGAAGAGGCTGAGGGCAAGATTTCGAAGGATCAGTTCACAGCAAGCAAGGTTCACTTTATCGGGGAGGCATGCCACTCAAATCCCTGTGCTGATGAAGCCAAAATCTCAGAGCCCAAAGCGCAGGAATCATTCGCAATCTGGCAGAAACAGGTGCCGCCAGCATCTCAGATTTGTTTCAGTCGGTTTCAGCCAAGCTCACACTGGTGTCCCGATGAGGCTGCGTGCTACCCCTGGGATGCCCTGCGAATACTCTTGGTCGGAAGCTCAACTAACTTCCTCTGGCTGGCCGATCTTTGCGGATATGGGCAATGATTCATGGTTACTGTGAAACAACTGACTACATGTTTCTGCTAGGGTCGCTGTATAGTGATCTGCTTGGACGATGAAATCGAATCTGACTGCAGACATTGTGAAGCTGAAGGACCAGAGCGACCCTATCC